AACTAATAGTCTGCTTTAATAGCTTGTCAAGCTGTGACCTCCAAAAGGCTTAAACAAAAGAGAAAAAGGCTCCAACTTTTAAATCTCCATGTTATGTGCTCAATTTCCCCATTCAGGTTGTTGTATTCAAGTGTCACTATCTTTTGTTTCATCATATTTTGGAATATGCCATTTTTCTAAAAGTTTCTTTGTTCCTATCTGGTGAAATTCTTTAGGGGTTTGCTGTTTTCCCTTAAAAGTAACTAATGTGCCAGCTTCAATAGTTGTAATCAGTTTCTCTTACCGTAATTAAGGGTTATACTTATGCATGAAATATTTAGTAGATGATTGTAGATACAACATATTAATATTATTTTGATTTGGTCCTAGCTCGGCAGAGCCAGGTTCATTATCTCGTGAGCTAGCAGGCTAAGAAGGTCGACCGGACCAGAGCTACTTCAAGTCGAGATGACCAGGTTGCAGGAAGTCGGAGCCAGTTGAGCTAACTCAACTCGGTCATGTACAGGTCAGTCTATTGATAAATACGCATGAGCGAGCTAGGGACCGAGGACAGTTCATCCCGGAGCAAGCTAAAGACAAAAGAAACCTATGGACCTCGACAAGAAGAGCAGCTGAGGAAGAAGAGTTATGTGTAAACATGACTAGATAAGGACAGTGTGGACACAATCACGGCAATAAACCATGGGCAACAAGAAATTTTGGGCAGCAAGAGATAAGGATCATACTCACCAAAGCGATAATTTGTTTTGTTTTAAACGATAATTATATTAAAAACTCAAAAAGAGTACACTCGAGATGTCAATGACACCACAAGAACCACAACAACGTTTGGATCAACCCCCTATTGGAATTACACGATCAACCAAGGGGGTACGAACACCCGGGAAACAAAAAAACTCCATAAAAGAGACTAAACAAACTCCATAAATAAGACTAATAAAATCCACAGGACTAAAATACCAAAAAAATAAAAAATAAAAATACTCATAATAAATCAATAATGCAGTATCCTTTAAGCATATTTTCATATCACAGTTGATTTGATGGTGGAAGAAGTAGAACTGAATTGTTTGGCCATGTCAAAAATTCCGTGCATTCTCCAATTAAGCATCAAAAGCTTTATTAGCATTGACCCTCAAAAGATGCCAAACCTAAAACTTTAGCATTGACCTTTTGTATTAGTTTTCATTTTCTGATCAATGATCTGGTCAAGCCCAGAGAGAATTAAGGAATGTGAATATATTTTTGCTCAGAACAAACTCTTTAACCAGACATGACCTTAGAAAACACGGAGAAAGCCCAATGCATCCCCTTGAAAAAGAGTGGTGCACAGAGTGAATCTTGAGAGAATTGAACAACAAACTTCAGTCCGATTCGTATCTATAATTTAAAGATCGTATTATGAAATTTAGAACCTTATAAATTATTAAAAATTTCAATTTTGAATCATCTAACAATGATATATAAGTATGGCACGTGGGTTTCGGGGAATCAAGTTAAATATTCTCTCGACACTTAAATCATTGGAGTTCCTCCATCGATTTTTGAAGTGAATCGTATGCTTTTACGACACATTATAAAGCTTTAATAAGTGTGCATATGTTGGCCCGCGTTTGGCATTGATGCCCCAAAGTACAATTTCATGCTCAAGTTTATAAAAGTGGACATACACTCGCTAGGCGATTAAATAACCTATTAATCCTAAAAAGAAAATATTTATTAAATTTATCTATAAGTCTAACATATGACATTCTTAAAAAAATACTATAATATAGAATGAAAAAGTCATTGTAAGTTTTAATAAAATAATAATACAATTTTTTAAAAGTATTGTATAAAATCTATTGTTATTTCTTTTGAAGCATAAATTTATTAATTAATACTCTGTACTAGCTAATATGCCTCCCTGTATACAAATTAATTATGAAGAGTTTTTGGACCCTAATTGTCAATTTCTTGTGATTCCAAAATTTTATGTTGTGAAGTGTCAATTTTCATGCTTTAGAGTAATCATGTAGATGTTTACTATTATTTATGCATATTAAAAAGTTGTAAGATTGTAAAATATTTGATCAACATATATTGTGAATATATTTAAACTTATAAATTTTTATTTGTTGTTGGGTTTTTATATAGATATATCAAATTATTCATCTTTTGATTGTTTTGGTCTGACATCCATATTGCACAAATAAAAAATATAATTTTTAAAAGTATTTAATAATTGAAAATAAAGGTTTATATTTAATTTTTTTTGCTTTTAACTAACTCCAAAATATTGTACAACTAGTTGTTAACTTGTTATCATTTAAAAGTACAACATCTCATGTAACCTGATTTTGTTAGAAATTTTATCTTTTGGAAATTGACTGTGAGAGTGCATTATCATCTTCTTATTTCGCCACGGCCCAATTGGCCTTGCTTCCAACTCTTCCGCTATACTATACATCGCAGCCTCATTTGATTTGGTTAGGCCAGTTCATAATTGGGCCAAGTGTATTCCCAATAGGATCAGGATTTACTCAACTTTAACTCAACCTCACTATCCTCAATATTATCAATATAATTAAATAATAATAATCAATTATTAAATAATAACAACCAATCATTTTTTTTATCATATCAATTTTAATTCACTATTCATCCACTTACATAATATATATATATATATATATATCTATAATTGCTGGCAAGCTTCAATAAATTTTATTCAGCCAACAATTAATAATAATATGAGTTCATTTAATAAAAATAGGTGTTCATTTAATAAAAATATGTTCACCATTTAATAATAATATGTAACTGTCAGTTACACAATTTATTTTGACAGGTCCTATTTTGGATGATGCCTATTTTTGTAATGTTTTTTTATGTCCCGAAATATAATTTTGTTTTTTTATTTTTATTTTGATATTATATATATTTTTGATATTATACAAATACATATTTCACAACTAATTAAAAATGACTACAAATATCTCTATTTTCTATTGCATTCATACAATAATAAAAATTTATTTTTTCAGATATTACAAAGATACATCAAAAGATATTAAAAAATCAAATCCCATAGTTATGAGTCGAAGAGGTTTAATGATAATAATTTGTTGTGATGGAGATTCTGACGATAGAAGAACAAAGAATGTTGTATATAAAGAAATGTTTAATAATATTTAGATTCACTTTTTTAAATTATTTTTTTCTCATTTATTAAGTTTTGATTTTTAATTTATTCTATATTTTCAATTACTTTCTCTTGTTTTATATCGCTTTTCGTGCAAATTCACGGGGAAAAGCTAGTTTTAACTAATCATCAAATCATATCATCTCTCTCTTACTTTTACATCAAACCAATATTAATTATTTTATTTTTAATATTATTTTAATACAAACTCAAAATCCCACTAACAACTAACTACACAATTTTTTTCTAAATTAACTCTAGTTAACCCAAAAAAATTCACTTTGAGTTAATTCACTCAAATTATTCATTTAACAAACACACCCTTAGTGTCATCATACTAATACCGTGTTTTGTGTCGAGTCCGCAAGTAACTCGCGTGCCACACTAGTCATCTTGCGCAGCCCGTGAGTTCGTGCACTTGCTCTCGGAAACTCGCGAGCTTTACCAACCATCTCGCATAGCCTGCCAGCTCACTTTTGACATGCCAGGGTAACTCGCGAACCCTACCACAGTGATCTCGCTCAACTCGTGAGTTCAATTCCAGCACCCTACCAACTCGCGTGCCCCGTGAGAATTCAAGATTGTCCCGCTTGTTGTTTACTAAATGTGTATTTTCAGTGCGTGTACTAGCAGTATATACAAACAACAGTCCACATTTTTTGAATCTTAAATCATTTGTTAGATTTCACTTTTTAGATTTTCTCTCTGTATTTTTAATTTTCCCTCTTGGAGAAGGATGCAATTTTTGTTATTTTTTCTTATCCATCAAGATTGCAACTTTCTGGTTTATTTTTACTTGTGGACGTGACTAGAGGCTTGGAGACCTAGGCTAAGGTTAAAGATCTTGTAAGTTATCTTGACTTTGCTTAGTTATATTTCTAGGATATTTTGTATGTAAAGTTGAGAACGTTCATGAGTAGAATATGCTATAATCCTTGAAGGATAGGGAATGTGATGATTGTTTGATTGTATGTTCTTAAACCTATGTATGTCTTTTTTAATCTAGGGTTTTTTTTGTATGCTTAGTCATTTTTTTTTTTAATTTCTATTTTTTGTTGAGATCTTGCAATTCTCTCACACTCGATTTTGCTTAGTTGCTTTCATTCAAGTCTTCTTGCATTCACGTTAGCTTAAAACAATCTCCAATTCACGATTAAAGTGTTTAGAACTTTTATTTTTCGTCTTTTGTGAAATGATTGTCCAAATTCGATTTTGAGCAGTCTTCCTTTGAGAGACGACCTGAGGTTGCTCTTCATGATTGTACTCGATAATTACACTATAAATAAAATGGCACTATTCTCGGGCAAGGCGAGTAGGACATTATATTAAGACAACTGACTGAGCACGCGACTGACGTTCGGTGGTGGCGGGATCTGATGAGGCCATGAGACGTGTGTGTGTGTGATATATATGTGTGTGTACAGTATATGTCAGTGAGAGAGAGAGAGAGTGTAATTAGTTGGATTTGTGGTGGCCCCAAGATGAATATGTAATGCCTTTTTTACCCCTAGTGAGTGGTCAAATGTGTATATTTGACCCTAAAATGTACATTTATATACGAAATTGTCATCACATGTTTGATTGCTATATTTAACATTTGACTTGATATGAGCATTGATATGTTGGACCCAATGATACAGATTTATTCTTATTTCTTTCACTATCTACCATTCTCATATGATTCCATCACTCTCTATATGTATAAAACATATGCTATTTATATATAATATCACAAATGCATAACTACATACATGGGGGCCGGCCCAGGACCGAACAGGGGTTCTTTTCTAGACCATCCTTGTTTACAGAACAGGATATGGGCCGAATTGCTAGCCTTATGAGTCCTTATATGAGGGATGAATGCTTTTGGCTGGATCATGTAGTACAATGCAATTGATGAGATCCATATCTGTGCTAACATTTTTTGTCAAATAAACATCAACAACACAAAGAAGAACAATTGCAACATATAAGTATAGACTACACTTATCTTCAACATAAAACATCCAAACTGAAAAAGAATCAAAGAAAACA